CGGATAGTCGGCTAGTAATGGATGTAGACGTGTATGTACATGTATGAGGCGGGTAGTCGGCTAGTAATGGATGTACACGTGGATGTACATGTATGAGGAGGACAGTCAGCTAGTAATGGATTTACACGTGTATGTACATGTATGGGGAGGACTGTCGGCTAGTAATGGGTGTACACGTGTATGTACATGTATGGGGAGGACAGTCGGCTAGTAATGGATGTACACGTGGATGTACATGTATGAGGAGGACTGTAGGCTAGTAATGGATGTACACGGGTATGTACATGTATGAGGAGGCCTGTCGGCTAGTAATGGATGTGCACGTGTATGTACATGTATGAGGAGGACAGTCGGCTAGTAATGAATGTAGACGTGTATGTACATGCACAAAGTATGCTTATTTGCCTTATTTATATCAAATTACGTAATTACTATTTACACATGATATGTACAGACAGGACACTGAACACCTATACAGTATTGGTATACCCACCCTTTTTTTAGATAACAGACACGACCACTCCTTTAGGTCGAAAACTATAACAAGCTCGACTAGTCTATGGCAGACCTGTTGTTGATATCCGGATAGCGACGTTTTACAAGTATAAAATGATTTTGAAGGTAAGGAGGAAGATTCAGAATTAAACGCTGATGATTTTATACTAGATGTTGTTTATACAGGTTTTAATATGTACGATAGAAGTCTTAACGCCCTCCATTAGACAGTGACGTCTTGAATCAGTGTTTATACCCATGTGATTTAGGCACCTTGTAGCAGTGGTTATCCGTGTAATGAAAGCGTATGTTGTATTAGTCCTCTGGGACAGAAACTAAAACCGACCTATCTAATTTCCACGAATTGTAAACTAACCAAGTCAGAAATGAGCTGATATGGCTACATTGCGATTATTAAAAACGACAACAGTCTACAACACCTAAAATGAATATGATAAAGAAGTATCAATTGTTCGAACCTAGAGGAACTGTATCTAAGTAAGGATAAGATTTCTTTTTCTGAATGGATAGAAATGTTAAAGAACGATTAAAGATTAAAAACACTTTTTGATTTAAATAAAACAAATTTCAAAACAGGAGTCGAAACAATTTTCTTGATCTTTAAACCAAACGGATAATGCGGAATAAAATAACATATTATATATTTATATTATTATAATACATGTACATTTTTATAAGTTGTTTATGCGTAATAATTATATAATAAATAAAGCTGTTGGGAATTAAAATGGATTGTACAATGTCCGAAAGGTGAGAAAAACTATGGCCTAGACTGTACATCAATAATGATAATACAAATATAATACATATATTCCTGTAATGCTAACTACTCCAACTAAAGTCTTAATAGTTTACTAATATATGGTGTTGTTTCAGAGGTCTTAAAGAAATTGCTGATTCTGATTGTTTGATTCCCATTTTCAATAATGGTGACTTTTATCCAGTAGTTATTTCAAAAGGCTCTCTTCTATATTGCATGTCAATGTAAACCCCTATAGCTCATGACAAAAACTCTTATAAGTACACATATCTACAGAAAACACTGAGAAAATGCTTTTTTGGCTGTTTTACAAACTAGCTTTTATGGTGGTGGTAGGAAATTCGTTCATGTTATGTATTTTCATTATATCCCCCAGTAAAATTTGATTAACTAGTTCTCGAGCTGGTACATGTAACATGCTTACATGTAACATCGATTACAATATAAAACTCGGTAACGTTAGCTTAATAAGTTAACTAACTTGATAAAACCAGCTAGGAAAAAATGCATTTTACATAAAAGATATCTAGCTAGGTATTTTTATTATCTTAAAGATAACCTATTTGAACTATGATAAATATCCCAGTACAGGCCAAGCGTATTTGTAAGGCTAGTAGTTATAATATTACATATGTATTCCTTCACGAATAAATCCTAGTTTCACATGGTGCAGGAAAGGCAAATTGATAAAGTCACTAGGACAGACATGGTGCAGGAAAGGCAAGTTGATAAAGGCACTAGGACAGACATGGTGCAGGAAAGGCAAATTGATAAAGTCACTAGGACAGACATGGTGCATGAAAGGCAAGTTAATAAAGTCACTAGGACAGACATGGTGCAGGAAAGGCAAGTTGATAAAGTCAATAGGACATACATGGTGCAGGAAAGGCAAGTTGATAAAGTCACTAGGACAGACATGGTGCAGGAAAGGCAAGTTGATAAAGGCACTAGGACAGACATGGTGCAGGAAAGGCAAGTTGATAAAGGCACTAGGACAGACATGGTGCAGGAAAGGCAA